AGCACCGACCACCCCAGCAGTGGGGGCACAGACCCTGCGAGGCATCAGCCCCCCCAAATTCCAGGGAGCCCTCACAGCCCAGCAGGTTCAGAGCGGGGAAGAGCAGGATCCGGGGTGACCCACACCCTGCCTGGCCTTTGGAAAGTGAATCCAAATCCATCAGGGCTGGTATAATCCTTGGGAGGAGGGAGGGAGGGAGGGAAGGAGGGAGGCAGCGCTGGCATTTCAAAGAAACCTCCAAAGAAGGAAGCAGAGCACGGGACGGCGCCTGGGCTCCATCCTGCTCCCCCAGCACCCTGGGCACTGCCCACCCAGCCACCCCACCATCCACCTGCTCCTCCTAAACCACAGTGCCCTGAATTCCACCCCCTTGGGGCGAGCTCAGCACCAGTGCCCGGCTCACCACCAGTGCCCACCTCAGGGATGCCCCTGCTGCCCCTCAACTGGCACCAGTGGTGCCAGCCAGGAGGGTGTCAGGGAGCAACCAGGGACAGGAACCATGTCCCCACCATGTGCCAACACCGTGGCATCGCTGCTCCCAAACCAACTCAATCCACCTTTTTAGGGCACCTCGGGCATGGAGAGCATCACTGCTCTCTCCTTGCTGGCACAGGGAGAGACACTTCCATGGAGAAACCACCACCACAATGCCCAGGGGCAGCACCAGCTTCGTGCCAGCAACTACAGCGCTGGCAAAACCCCAGTGCTGGTTGTCCCCACATCTCCTCTTCCCCAGGTTCCCACTTCCCTGCATTCCCCCATTCCCCAGGTCCCCACTTCCCTGCATCCCCATTTCCCTGCATCCCCACATTCCCCAGGTCCCCCCTTCCCTGCATTCCCACGTCCCCACCACAGCGACTCACCCGCTCCTCCATCACCACCTCCTGCCCGTGCCAAGGATCCGGGGTCAAGGTCCTCCAACGGCCTCGGGGACGTGCCAGCTCCCCAGTGTGACAAAAGCCAACGCTCACCTGGTGGCATGGCCACCGTGGTGGGAAGGGACCTGCCAGGTGAGGTGTGGCCCCTTTTGGGGATGGCAGTGGCAGGGGACAGTGTGGCAGGAGCAGGGAAGGAGCCACAGGCCCCACCTCTGGCTGCACTGGAGGCTCTGAGCCCCCCAGTGCTGGGGTTTCCCCTCTGTCACCCCTGTTCAGTGTCCTGGGGGGCTGTGCCAGGGTTGGGACCCTTTAAGCCGGGTCCAGCCCCGGTTTTCCAGCCCGGAGCAGGCGCTGTGCTCCTGGCACCAGCTGGGCTGTGTCACAGTCACTGGGTCAGACCCGTGGCTGATGGACTGGACACGCTTCAGGGCTCCAAACAGCAGCTCGGGGGTGGAGGCTCCCCCAGACCTCCCAAGAGAGCTGAGGGGGAGAAGAGTCCGTGCTCTTCCTCAGGAAAACATCAAAGGAAACCACTTTGAACCTCCTCTTGCTTTTCCTCCGGAGCAAGAAAAGGGAATAAATGCAACAACTGGGAGACAAAACTTTCACTCAACGCTGCTGTTCTTCCCCTTCCCCAAAGCTGGAGCTCATTGGGACCAAAGGGACAACCCCCCTGGCTGCCCCCACCCTCCCACAGCCCATCGAGGTCACAGCTTTCCTGCTCTTCAAACCCCAAACTTGCTCTGGGCAGGTGGATGAGGAGGGAAGTGGCCCCTCCACTCGCCCCACCTTGAGGTGAAGCCCTGCAGGTGATGCCAGTTGTGCTCCTGCTGCTGCATTCCCAGCTGGCATGACAGGACCCCTCCTCGTGGAGAAGGTGGGATGCACCTGGGAAAAGCTCCTGTTCCCCTCCAAGAGCAGACAGCAAGCCTGGCTCGGCTGGCTGGAGGCAGCCCAGCAGCCCCCAGACCCCCCAGGCCCCCCGTGTGCAGCCCACCTCAGCTAATGGGAACCATTTCCAGCCCTTCCCAGGGCTTCTCTCCTGGCTGTTATCCAGCAGTGGGAAGAGGGGAGGTGCAGGCTCACCCCCGGGGCCTGCCAAGCCCTAAACCCAGAGCAGGGCAGGGGGGCTGTGGGGACCCCGACCGGCCCTGCCAGGGCGCGATGCCGGAGCCTCGCCCGGGCCAACACCATCCCTCCAGCTCCCAGGCTGGCCCTGTGCCTCCAGGATCCAAGCCCTGCGTCCTCCCACGCCCCAGCCCCGATTCCAGCTCTGGCAGAAGCCTCAGTGCTCCCCTCACAGCCCCTGGCTCGGGGGGGTCAGGGATGGGGGGTCCCCACTGCGGCTGCTGGGATCTGCCACGCCAGGGGCATGGAGCCAACCCCCCGAAGTGATAATGAAAACTCGTCATCCCAAGGTTTTGCTCCTGTTTCCAGCATCCAGGCAGCTCCCAAGGAAGGGGCTTGTGTGGCCACCAGCCAAACACGCCCTGTACACTGGCCTCCCTCCTCTGTTTTTCTAGCCCTTTCTTCACCTCTCCCTCTCCTCCTGAGCCACATCCCTCTCCTCCGACTGCAGCCCTTGAAAATCCTTCTCTCCCAGTTAACTGCAGCGCTCAGCACCCATGGGAAGGGACTCCAGGTCACCCTGTCCCCCACAGCCCCCCTGAGGGCCTGGCAGGGAGAATCCACCCTTGGATGAGCAAGTGCAAACTGCCAAATCCCAAACTGCAAGAGGAGCCCGGGGTGGTAACAAACACATTATAATGCACTAATAAAGGGGACCCACCACAGCCCAGGTCCACCCCACTCAGCACAGGCGTGCAGGGGCTCGAGGTGCAATAGGGATAAAAAAAATTAATGAAATGAAGTTTGGCAGGTGGAGGGCAGGTGCCAGCAGTTCGGCTGCTCCAGAGTCTCCACGTGGGGCCATCCCAGCTCCGGGCTGCTGGACTTGTAAGAGTTCCATGCCAGCCCTGGGAGAGGGCAGGAAAGGAGAAAAGGTTGCAGGGAAGAGGAGATGGAGGGAAAGGAAGGATGGAATGCTGCAAGAAACCCCTGTCCGGGCAGCATATCCGAGCCAACCAGCAGCCCTGGGAATCCCAGAGCCTGTGGATCTGCAGCACAATCAGCCTCTGGGAATAAAGTGGCTTGTGGGCACTCAGAATCCTCTGTGTGGAGCTGCATGCTGAGGGCCCATCATTCTGATGCTGCCACTGGCCAGCTCCTACTGCTCCTGGCACAGCAGGGACCAGCAGCCGGATCTCCTCCTCAGCCTCATCCCTGCCCTAATCCCGGCCCCCTCCATCCAGCTGAGCCAGCATTTCCAGCCCTGCATCCATCAGGGCTGGGGGCCTGGGGCAGCACAGCCCTTCTGGACAACAAAACCCACTCCTGCACCTGCACAGCCCCCTGTGCCCCTGTCCCTGTGCCCAGCCACGGTGCCACCCCAGTGTCACTGCTGGGATGGGAATGGGGAGGCAGAGGGAGGTTCCTGTCGCCTCCTGCCCTTGGCTGTGCTGGGGCTGCTGTGAAGCAACCCCAAAATCGAGGGTGCCAAAGGAGTCCCAAGAGAGAGGGTGCCAGTCCAAGCGCCCCATCCCCACCTCACCCCTCTGGCAGACTGCACCCACAGCTGCCACCACAGTGCCCTGGCAGGGACCACCCTGGCTCAATGCTGGCAAGAGCCTTTCCAGAGCCAAAACAAGTGCTGTAGTGGCCAAGCCCCCCCTTCCTTCTGCTGCCACATCCCAGGTGTCACCACTGACCCCACTCAGAAGTCGCTGCAGCAGCAGCAGCAATGGCCCACCCAGGGCTGTGCCTGCAGCAATGTCCCCAGTGTCACATCCCTGCTGCTTTTAGAGCCATTTGCCAAAGCACCTCGACCCCCCAGACCCCAAACACCAGCCCAGGACCCCCAGACCCCAAACACCAGCCCAGGACCCCCGCTCCTACAAGCACAGCCTGGCCTTCAGCTCTCCATCATCCCTCTGAGTTCCCATGGGAGCCGTGCTGGGAGGGGAGGAGGAAAAGCCTGAGCTGGATCCTCTGGGAAGCAGCAGGGCTGTTGTGCCGGGCTTGCCAAGCCGGGCAAAGTCCTCGGGAAGGGCGGGTGGAGGCTCCCGGGCACCCGCAGCCCACGAGCAACGTCACCACCATCACCCAGGGCCCTCCCGGCCGGGCAGGGTGTGTGGGGAGGGAGAGCAGGAGAAGCGCCCGGTGTCCCTGCCATGGCAGGGCGGGATGGCCGGGAGCAGGGATGGCCGGGAGAGGGGAAGGCAGGGGATTTCCAGAGAACAAAGCGGCTGCTGGCAGCCGGCGTGGCCGGCGGCGGGGAGGGCGAGTCCCCCGCTCCCGCGCCAGCTGGGGTCGGGGAAAAGCACAAAAAGCACAAAAAGCACCGGGAGTTTGTGTTTTATCTCCCTGGAAACCCCGGCTCCATCCCAGGCACGGCCCACGGGGGCGGCTGGCCAGGATACGGAGAGCCGGAGCAGGCGCGGCAGCATCCCCGATCCGTGGGGTGACATTCGGGAGGGTGACAGCCCCGTGAGGGGGTGGCCCGGGACATGGGGCAGAGCAGGTGGCAGTCCAGGCCCTGGCAGCACTGAGTGTGTGGCATTGCTTTAACCAAGTGGCTCCATTGTCCCTTCCCGGGGGCAGAGCCCCTGCCCCCTGTGCCCGGGATCACCAGGCTCCCAGAGCCACCGTTCCCACTCACACAACCCCTGAGCCGCCACCTGGACCCGCACCTGGAGGCTTTAAACTCTCCCTAAGCTCCTTAAGAAACCACCTCCAGCGGCAGGAATACCTGTCCTGAGCAATCCCTGGCACGAGGCATCAAACCAGCCCGGTCCCAACCCCTCCCTGGCCAGGTCGGGTCAGGAACGGGGATTACGGAGCAGCAGCGCTGGGAAAATCCTGCTGGGACAAATCCCCAGCACCTGCGTGACCCATCGTACACACGGATAATCACACCCACAGCCCGATGTGCCCTCCCTGGCGTGCTCAGCTGTGCCAGTCACGGCCCCGGCCGCCCTCGGG